AATACAGGACTACGTGCAACGTTTGTCTACTTTTATGCAATCCTTGTCTCCGGCACAAACTCGAATACAGCAGCGTTCTAAGTCCACAGATGATATCACGAACGCCAGAGAGCGCAAAACACCAACGTTAGAAAAAATATTATTATTATTATTGAGGGGTAAAGGGGCTCCTACCCAGGTATGTAACTGTATAGCCCGTCTACTCCATGATTGCTAATTCCAGGTGAAAATACGATCCAAGATCTCCAGCAAAGGAAAAGCGACTAGTGGTGTCTCCCAAGGGTCAATAATAGGACCACCCCTCTTCCTCATATTTATCAATGACCTTGCCGAGGAGGTCGCACAGTCAGGCTTCACTCACGCAGACAATGTCAAAACAGTTGGTGGCTCGTCCAGTCGTCAAACAATACAAGACGACTTAGACAGACTCTCAGCGTGCAGGGTACGGTGGGATCTGCCGCTAAACGCAACCAAATGTTGTGTTCTGAGTAAAAATTGTCCGAAACCTTCCTACGGTTTACACTCCTAAATCAAGAAGCACATAATCTGAAACAAAAGAGGTGTGTCAAGGAGTTTGGGATTACACAATTAATCAGCTTTGCACCCGGGGAGCAATGCGCCGAAGCGGCCCACAAGGCCAGGAGAGCGCACTCAGAGCTGTAATAATCAGCAGAGAAGCCGATGTATTCATCCCTCTATATAGGGCACTTGTCAGACCTCATCTAGAATATTACGTCCAAGCTTGGTCTCCCTACCTGGTAATGGACGTAGACAGGTTAGTAAAAGTGCAACGATTAGCCATCAGAATGGTTCGTAACATCAAAGGGCTATCGTACAAGGACCGTATTCGGAACCTGAACCTCTCCTCTGTGAGTAGGAGACGTCTAAGAGAAGACTGGACCGAAGTCTTTAGACAAACGAAGAACGTCGATCTAGGTCTCCCACTTCTGAGATCCACGAGAGAAATAAGGGGCCACTGATATCACCTATAAAAAATAGAAGTAGATTGAATGTGAGGAAGCATTTCATCATCAATAGAGTGGTCAACTTCTGGAATCACCTCTGCAAGACTTTCAACTAAACACTGTGCAAGCATTTAGGATAGAATCAGATGGCGTATAGACCGAAACCTTTCCAGAAGTGACCTAAAACATAAGGGAAATAAGCTCCTTCCTTTCTTTTTCCCACCCCCACGTTTGATATAACGTGATGCGTATGCACAGCATGCACGCGCAGGAACGCTTACACTTAAGTATACGTAAGTCTCTCACCGACACGGTGAGAAGATAGTTTGTTCCCTCTCTTTTTCAGTCTTGCCAATAACAGATGCAACACCTGCTACATCCGAATCTCACATCCTCGGACGGTCGCGGAACTATCAACCGTGCTGTAAGCCGGACAAACATACAGCTCGATCGGTCTACCGACGAGGTCGAGCCAGAATCAGGACAACCATAAGTCCGAGGCCTCTACATCCTGGAAAATTGATTTAGAACAAATTGGATTGAACTGAACCTTCTATCGAAAAGTTTCAAGTGATCTGACCAGTATTCAGTAGCAGCGCGCAAGGCTCGCGGGGAATTATTTGGACTACGGTCCGTCTTAATGTGCAGACGACCGGAAGTCTTCATCTCCGTTCACAAAGCCATAGTCAGACCACACCTAGAGTATTGTGTACAGGATTGGTCACCCTTAATGAAGAAGGATGATGCCTGTTTAGAGAGAGTTCAGGGATTGGCCACTAGAATGGTTGAAGGCCAAAGGGAAGAACATATGAGAAAATACTAGAGGCTCTAGGACCTTTCTCATTATAAAGAAGGAGACTGCGAGGGAACCTGATACAAACCTTCAAAATCATGAATGGAATATCAGGGGTAGGAGTGGACAGTCTCTCCACACTAGCTCCCCAACAGAACATTAGGGGGCATGAGTTCAAGCTCATGAAGCAGAGGTATCAACTAAGCACGAGGAACCACTTTTTCAGCAATAAGATAGAAGATAGTTGGAACCGGTTTCCCAAGGAAATAGTCGGCCATCAAACAGTGCAGGCTTTTAAGACTGCAACAGATAGACGATGGGTAGAACTATTCTTATTTCTGGCAGTGTAGACGAGTGTAGGTGTGCCAAATATTTAGGATGCCATTTACCCTTCTAACTGGTGCACGTAATGGAACGCTCAAGTCTAACCATTCACTAACCAACTTGGTGAGATGAGATCCTATTTCTCATTCTTATTTCAGCAGAGCTGGGTACCCACGTAGTGATCTGACCATCGAAGGAATTCTGGACCCACGACTGGCCATGGAAATATTCAGTCCTGTGCAAACTGTGCAAACTTGACTGACCTTGGGCGAGCGCGGTTTGAAATTTGGAGTGGGAAGACGCGTTGATTGAAAAGTCGCCATAAAATCCGAGGGAAGACTTGAACCCGAAGAGTTCAAAAAGTATAACGGACGAAAAAGGGCATCACGGCAATTCACCAAACCTTCCAATACGATGGGGCGCGCAGTCTGCATTTAGAAAACTCTACTGATGGGTACCTGGGTGGCTGGACCGCAGTGACGATACAGACCTCAGGTGATCGAGTGGTTGCAAACCGTACTGTTCAGAGGTGACCCAGTTTAGTTTTCCTTGATTATTTGACTCTACTTTACTAATCTCTATTGTAGCATAAGTTCTTGGCACTCGGTAGCCTAGCGCTGTTTCTGATCCATCCATACTTAAGCATATTCACACCCAGTTTCATAGGAGAATTGCTGACTTCATGGCTATCACGCGTAAGAATCCAGTGAGAACCGTGGCACCAGCAACATAGGTGACCACACTGTTTCCTTGTGGGAAGGTAGGGTGCCCTGTGGAGGTCAAAGAGGGCATACGGTGCTACGCGTACCACAGTTGGTACCATCTCAAACGCAGCCAAATCTCAGCCAAGGCAGCTGGCATCTACTCGGAACATAAATTCATGAAGTGGGCCTGTGGTGGATGCATTGCATCCATAAAGAAGAAATCTAGTATACCTCCCTTATCCTGCCCCACCTGTGCAATGGGTACTGTAAAAAAGGCGAACGTTCAGTAGGCTTCGGGTGCAGGGTACAGATGATCAATCAGAGTTTAGAGTCCAAGGTAATCTCACCACCCCCTAAGGCCCTAGGCACAATGCTAGACAGGAGTAATAAGGAAAAAGCTCCGGGAAAATCCATCCTGTCGCCAACAAGAACGATGGCAGAAAGAGGAAGTTCAGCGGAGAAGGCTCACCAAACTCTGATCAGCATAAATTATTAGTTCCATCGAAAGGTTCAAACTCATCTCCTATAAATATTTCCAGTAATGTTCCAAGCCCGTGCAATAGGGGACCAGCATCAACATCCGAATCGCACCGTAACAGACTTGACGACCACGACGCTTCAATAAACCAACTAACTACAATCACTAATTCACTGGGCAGCGTCTTAAGAAGACTAGAACCGAACATAGACGTAGCTTTCGGAAGAAACCGCAACGTGGTGATTAGGAGGCTGGCTGAACCACATTGTCGAGAAGCGCGCAAGCGCAAACACGACCTACTCCACCAGTTAATATATTACGAATTGCTAATATCCTATGGCATGTCCATATCAAGCGAATCATGCACCTGGGGAAATGGAGGGAAATCTCTCACGTTGTCAGTGAAGATAACACAAGACCAACGCTGGTAGTGTTCCAAAACCCTAGATACGGGGATGCCATGTTGACAGCAGCAGCCCACGTGTAGCTCTTGACAGAGGGCAAGATCACCGTAGTCTCTGATTATGCGAACAGCTGGAAGAGTGTAGCTACTGTGCCACCACCCTCACTAGGCAGCGCCAGGCGACTGATCGTAAGGGTGTAACCTTCCACTCCGAAGGTTTCACCGAGCCCTAATGCCCGCACACCCCGGCTCTCCACAAAAGAATCGGCATTTTTGTTAAACCATTCCGATACCGAAACAGCCACACCGAATGAGATGCCTGCTATTGCCGTACCCTCAATCTGCGGGAGTCCATATAGGAAGGACTCTACCATCGAGACAAAAATCTCGGCGGGCACCCGGGCATNGTCTTTTACCGCTAAGGGATCACGCTGTGCAGAGACTGGATGTTCTCTACACCAATGCCTGCAGCCTAATGAACAAGTGGCCCGAAATAATAACAGGAGCAGGGACGGCCAGTTGCATAGCAGTCACTGAAACGTGACTGAAACCAGAATTCCATACCACAGGATTACACCCACCAAGTTTCATGGCCTATCGATGTGATCGCACTGACGGTCGCATCGGTGATGTTTCCCTAATACTCATAGAGGAACACAAGTAGCTGTAACCAACCTGGGGAAAACAAACATCCAATCCACCGGGTGCTTGCCAAAACAACCCCATTGTGAAGTAGCATTAGTTTGCACATACCATAGTCCTCGGTCCTCCACATAGGAGAATGGCCAGTTGATCGCCTACCTAAGGCAAGTGGCAAGACAAGCCAGTAGGGTTCTGCTTTTGGGTGACCTAAATGCTTCTGAGGTCCACTGGCAGATGGAAGACGCACCACCCGGCAGTTTCGGAGAGAAATTGCTTGGCTTAGTGCTCAACTGAGCCCTGTTTGAGCACATCAAACACCCAACAAGATGGAAACCAGGTAACCCACCCAACATCCTGGACCTAGTATTCACCAAGGGCGTAACTGAAATCGTGAACTTAGAACTAGTATCACCGCTAGGCAGGAGTGGTCACGCAACTATTCGCTTCCGTTATGTCTGTCGTCTACGAGCCCCGAGGCTAGAATTCAGGTGCTGCTATAGAGCATTAGACACTGGGTGTCTCCTCTTGGCCGCGTCACAACTCCAATGGCCGGAGGATGCGACAGATATCCATGAGACTTGGGACCGATTTAAAAAGAACCTCATCCTGTTGGCCGACGCCTTTGCACCATGGCTTCGCATGGTAGACCAGGCAGGCCACGGCGGTGATGTCGACGGTTAGGTAAATTACTGAGTAGAAAGTGGGCAGCCTGGAAGAGTTTCACCACCACCAACGGCCACTCGAGATACCTTCAGCACTTGCAGGAGCGCAAGACCTACGACAAGGCCCAGTCAGATTCAAAGAAACGCTATGAGATCACACTGGCACAGAAGAGTAAGACGTGCCCGAAAGCATATTACGGTTATGTACAGGCGAAGGCAGCCACTAGGGAAGCTATCGGTTGTATCCGCGACGCCGGTGGCAACCCAACGCTCACTAGCTTAGAAAAGGCTTCCGCTCTACAACATCATTTCGAGGAGTCGTATACTGTGGACCTGGGCAATACCCTGCCGGCACGCAGTATCACGACGGAGTGCCCTATGGATAAACTCCTTGTAGAGCCACAGGAAGTGGAAAAAGTATCAAAGCTTTAAACAAAAACAAAGCTGTAGGTCCAGATGACATAATCCGGTGATACTAAACCATTGAAGAGCATTTTAGCACGTCCATTAGCCAGCCTATTTACCAAGTCACCCTAGACAGCCACCCTCCTAAGTGACTGGAAAGTGGCCAAAGTCACTCCTATCTATAAGGGGGGGGGCGACAGAGATGCCGTCTCAAACAATAGGCCAGTGAGCTTGCTGTCAGCAGTACTGAAGGTTATGGAAAGCGTGATTCTTGAGAAAGTGACTAGTCATTTTACAGCGAACAACTTACTGACGGAAGCTCAGCATGGATTCGGACGGAGTACATCCTACCTAACAAATCTGTTAGCTTACCTGAATGCAGTGACGGACAGGCTTGGCAGGAGTGAACGTGTCGAAGTGTGCTATCTTGATTTTAGGAAGGCCTTCGACTCAGTGAGCCATGGACTACTCCTGATGAAACTGTCACAGTTGGCAGTGCACCCCGAACTCCGAAATTGGCTTCGGAGTTATTTAGTAGGTCGCACCATCCAAGTGCGGATAAACAGCATTTTCTGAGGGAGGCCAAGTGCACAGAGGAGTGCCTCAAGGCCCCATCCTTGGACCGTTGTTGCTCTTGGTCTTCATCAACGAATTGGCACAGTGTATTGCAAAGCCACTGTTCTTGCTTGCTAATGATGCCAAAATTTTAGCCTCTCCTTACAACGAGGGGATTCCAAGTGATCTGAATAGGTTACACGCATGAAATAGAGAACTGAGCCTGCCTCTGAACAGTAATATGTCTAAGCTCCTACTTACGGGAGATTCGCGGACAATCCTCGGTACCTGGGGGAATCTGCAGGCGAAGTAACTGAACTAAGCACCGAGGTGAAGGATCTAGAGATTACTATAAATTTCATGTTCTCATCCGCGCGTCAGTGTTCCATTGTAGCCCGCAGAGCAAATTCAGCACTGTACAGGCTGCGTACAACGGTATCCTCCAGAGACCCAGAGGTACTTGTCCCCTTATACCAAGCGTTTGTACGACCCCACTTTGAGTACTGTGTCCAAGCGTGGGCACCCTATTAGTGTGGGATAAACTGGTCCTGGAGAAGGTTCAATGCCGCTTTACGCGGATGTTCCCTTTCCTAAGTAGAATAACACACTGAAAGGAGGTGAGAACTGTGTCTGTTCTCCATTGAGCGTCGTAGACTTAGAGGTGATCTAATTGCAACCTTTAGAATCCTGAAGGGTTATTGTCAAGGCACAAGACATCTCTTTGAGTTAGACGAGGACCAGACAAAGCGTGGACATAGTCTCAACCTGGAGAAATCAAGAGTATACAGAACGATAAGCGCCGACAGCGGTGGCGCTCTTGTTGTCATTTATTAACAAGGCAGAATGCTTGAAAAAGGTATGCATGAACACTTAGATTGTGT